GTAAAAAGGTAGTGAGGTGAAGGATGAAGATAAGTGAATGCAGTCAAAAGAAATATAAAGTATGAGAAGAAAGGAAAGAGGAGTGACAAAATAGTGAGATTCGGTATAGCGTTGTTAAGATGAGGATAATGTGTGTATACATCTGCGCCACTGACTTCGGTTCTGAGCCATATCACCTAGGGTCTCCAACCACTGGTTCCTCTTGTCCCGTGGACCCCAACCACCTAGTCTGCATCGTCCTACATGGCTTAAACCAACAGTCAGAGACTTCATACATTGGTGCCATGTTTTAGTCTGGCCACCTCGGGCCTTTTTCCAGCCTGAACCCACCTCAGCCAACATTGTGTGACGAGGCAATCGGTGACTAGGCATACGTAGTACGTGTCCCAACCATCTCAGTCGATGAAGGTTCACAACCTCGTCGACTGACTTACCTCTTCTCCCTAAAACTCTACACCTAACTTCTGCATTACTCACATGGTGACACCACGGAATACGTCCTATACTACGAAGGCAACGGTGGTCAAACACCTGAACCCTTTTTGTCTTCCACTTTCAATGGCCATGTTTCACAGCCATACAGTAGAACAGAGCGGACTGCTGTGCAGTACACGCGACCCTTAATAGACAAACGAATATCACGGCGGCGCCATAGGTGGCGCAAATTGGCAAAAGCCAATCGAGCCTTTTGTATCCGTGCAGAAATCTCATCGGCAACTAACCCACCGGGTTGATCCTACTTCCCAGGTAAGTGAAGTGGTCAACACACTCAACCACTTCACTCTCTATTGTTAACCGCGGTACCGCTGAAGACCAGTCCTGGAGCAAAAATTTGCATTTGGGTGGTGAAAATCGCATCCCAAACATTCTCAAATTCCCACTCAAAGTGTTCAGAAGACTCTGCATCTTGTCAGCGTCTTCACCTAACAGGACTATGTCATCTGCATATTCTAGATCTAAGGAAAATTCACCTGTGATCGGGTCAACGTCTTTGTAATTAGGTGACGAGAGGGAAACCTCCATAAGAATATCTATGATAAAATTAAATAAGAATGGGGATAGTGGGCATCCTTGACGGACACCACTTGATGAGTATAGCTCCCTGGACAACTCACCATAGGCTCTAACATGCCCACAAGTGTTCGAGTAGAGAGCTTTCAATAAGGTGATGTACTTACTAGGCACGCCTTTCAGTGACAGACACTGCCATAAGACTTCTCGATCAACGGAGTCAAATGCCGCCTTCAGGTCGAGAAATACAGCTATTGTCGGGCGTCTGTAAGCATGCCTATGTTCCAGGACCTGGCGCAGTGTGAATATTTGGTCGATACATCCACGGCCAGGTCTAAAGCCTGCCTGGTTTTCTCGGGCTTGCTGTTCCCGAGCTCCACTCAGGCGTCGGAGAATTATAGAACTTAGGATCTTAGACACTATGTTTGTCAGGCTGATTCCTCTGTGGTTATCACAAGAGGACTTCTCGCCTTTCTTGAAGACTGGGATGATGAGTGACTTAGACCAGTCGGAGGGGATCGTATTTGATTCCCATATACTGGCTAACACTTCCGTTAGCCTGACTAAGAGAACTCTACCACCATTCTTGTATACCTCAGCAGGTAGTCCGTCTGGTCCTGCTGCCCTTCCCCGTTTCAGGCTACCTACCGCTTTCTCAACTTCTTCTAGTGTTGGGGGACCTGTCTCTATGTCCCATTCAGGGTCCGACTGGATAGCGGGCAGCGCAATGGTGGCTGGAGGCCAGTTAAACTGTTCCTCAAAGTGTTCTGCCCATCGTCCCAGTCGCCTTCCCTGCGAGTGAATCGCCGATCCGTCCTTCTCCGCTATAACCTCACTAACTGTTGTTGACCATTTCCCCCCAGTCTCCTTAATAAGTCTAAATAACTGTCTACTGTTACCGATCGCCGCTGCCTTTTCCATCTCTTTAGCCTTTGCTGCCCACCACTGTTCACGATCGTTGCGCAGACTTTTCGTCAGTTTATTTTTAAGTTGCGCTCGCTCTTCATTGTACTCAGAGCCTGCAGGGATGCATTCACGTGCATCCATTAGTTTGGAAGAAGCTGCTGATATCCACTGGCTCTTTTTAGCCATTATCTTGGAGTCGGCTACAGTCTCCAGTGCTGCTTTTACAGTAGACTGAAGATGGCACCAAGCTTCTTCTGGATGAGTGACAGTCTTTTGTTCCGATAACTGCCTAGCCAACTTCTCACTGAACACGGCTTTGGTGTTTTCGTTGTCCAGCAGAACTCGTAGTGGTTTTGTTGCCAAATTTTTTCTACGTCCATTGAGACGCAGGCATATACGTGCTCGGACCAACGCATGATCGCTGTCCAAACACGTACTCCAGAAGGAGCGGCAGTCTTCCACCGATCCTCTCCAGCGATGACTAATAGCAATGTGGTCTATCTGTGTCCATCGCTGAGTCGAGCTCGGTGGACGCCAGGTCAGACAGTGCCTTTCTTTATGTCTGAAATTTGTGCTGGCTAAAAATAGGCGGTTATCTGAGCATAGTTGTAATAGGCGATCACCGTTATCTGTACGTTCAGCTGGGATTCCGAAAGTGCCACCTAAGTGCCTTTCTGCCTCACTCAGTCTACCCACCTGTGCGTTGAGGTCACCTGCAACAACCACTACGTCCGAACGTTTGGCTTTCGAGAGGAGGTTAGACAGTTTATGGTAGAACTCGTCCTTCACTTCATCCGAACTACAGTCAGTGGGTGCGTAAGCAGAGATTACAAAGAGACAACGGCGAGTCTCACTATTCCTTTTAGTTCTCACTGTGCCGTTCAGCCTCATAGCGCAGAGGCGACTATCAACTGGGATCCAGTCTAGTAGTGAGTTTTCTGCCCTGGTGCTTAATGCTATACCTACACCTGCAAGACCACGAGAGCTAGCTATCGAATCTCCAGAAACTCGAAGGGTGAATTTTGCAGATTCACCAGATTGGTCAGGAGAGGTCAGGTGAATAACCACACTTGGGTCCTGTATGCGTGTCTCACAAACACAGCACACATCCATGCCCGAGTTGCTAGAGTCTTTGCCAACGAAGCCTGTTGGCCAATTTGACGGAGGGTGCGGACATTGAAGGCTCCAATATGTAATTTGGAGCGTGGTTTAAGGAGACCAGGGATGCTGTTCTGTGGACTCAGATCGTTGTCGAAGGCTGCAGAGGTAGGAGAAATTGAAGATGATGCAGCATCATTAATTAAGAGACGTGAAGGAAGATTAGAAGGTAATGATGGAGGAGGAGGATAGCAGTCTAGACTACTTTATCTCAGGATGTGGACATTGAGGTAGGATTTTTGTTAAAACTGGTGTTCTTCAGGGTAGAACTTTGGATGGTGACGATTAGAATGGTGGAAGCTCGCCCCCACCCCTGAAATATCAGCTTGGGGAAGACTTCCACCTCAACACATCCCGGAAGTGCTTTGACTTAACCTTCCTGTTAGTGTATTGGCTTCATTTGCTCTGATGACCGCGTATGAACGTTTCACTTTTAGTAGGAGGCTAGACAATTTTAGGTTGAACTCATCTTTCACTTCATCCGAACTGCAGTCAACAGCTGAGAGGACAGATCACAAGAAACTATACTATACAAGTCATCAAGAATCCAACAACTAGGAAAGCGAATTTCGCGAGATAGGTGAATGGTTACATTCAGGTGTGCCCTTCATTTTCTGAGCGTTTTAGCCTATACTGACGACTGAATTTCGGCAGACCAGTGATGCATCAAAAGGCTTACAAGTTGGCATACATTTAGAGACCAGACGCAGAGTATTTATTTCATGAAGGGACACACATTGATAACGAAACGCTAGTTACCCCAATAAACTGTTTCATTATCGAGACTGAATAAGAAGAGTCATTTCAGAATGAGGCTGACACTCATTGAGGAAATTTATTGAAGCGTAGATTTTTAGAATGAAGTATGTATGCAATAGGCTTGAAGATGGCTCATGGAACCAGTAGTTTTAAAGTGTTTGTAGAGTGGAAAACGAAATATTACTATTAAGCCTATAAAAGGACATGGATATGGTTCAGTGTGACTGGATTCCTTAAAACGCATGGATAACGTGATACTTTAATATAAGAGTAAAACTTAGGTGCTAAAATGGAACGTGAGACTTTATAGTGGAGCGGCTGACAGTCACTGTTTATTCTAGAAGTAACACAACAGAATATGGTAGGCCAATTTTAGTGTCAGTATATCTTTTTATTTTACAACTCTACTTACTATAGATGACTTATATCTGGTGTTGAAATGCGGAAGGTATGGTTTATTCAAGCAATTCTTATATACAAAACAGATGTGTTGAGGTGGAAGTCTTCCCCAAGCTGATATTTCAGGGTGGGGGGGAGCTTCCACCATTCTAATCGTCACCATCCAAAGTTCTACCCTGAAGAACACCAGTTTTAACAAAAATCCTACCTCAATGTCCACATCTTGAGATAAATTAGTCTAGATAATAAAAAAAGCTAAGATATAAAACTGAGGGCTACTAAAATCCCATTTTCAGGGCGTAGGTGATGGATGTCACTGTAGCTAAAGTAGTAAGATGTATGTATAACTATGCACAGGTAATTCACTTCGATAGTGACTGCCCTCGGGTCGCATGTACCTGGTTGGTCTTCAAGATGTGACACGACTATCAGATTAAATGTTGCATCGTGGAGGAAGCTATTGGTTTAGATGGTTAGCACCTGAACTTTTAGCTGGCAGTAAAGGAAATTGCAATGCTATAAAATTAGTCACGATAATTAATAAAGGGAATATCGAAACTTAAGTTTATGAAAACGCTGTTAGCATACATGGATACGAGTCTGTGTCGGTTAATATTTAACAATCAGTGAGATAATATCAACGATAGATATAAGTGAATGGAAATGCGTTTTTAAAATAAACCGTGAAAATAAGTAAAAGGTATGTTAGAATGTCTTGCTGTACAAATATCTAATTAGAAATGGAACTTTCGTATGCGTATCAGCGTCTAGATTGGTGTTATTTCCACTGTCTTGCGTTGTTCGGTAAGCCAGTCTACTAGACCCTGAAAACATCCTACATTATGTAAGAATAATCTCTTGGTTTTATCCAAATGTTGCTCCAGCATCCAATATGCCTGTTGATGAACTATCGCAAAACTTGTACCACCTGTGTATTGTGCTGATAGATGTAACCAATTTTCCATTAACTGACAAAATGAATTCTCATTTTGCAGGTATTTTGGAGCAAATAAGTATGGCGTTTTCAATAAAGATCTACCAACCATTACACCTGAAATCGAAAATTCGTAAAAGCAAAAAGTAACCAGGTATGAATAAATAAGGCTGAGATATTCATAAAACTCCGTCAGTCTTTTTAACTATTTTCTGGGCGTAAAGCAATTAATAGCTCGATTCTTGGCAAGGTTCGACTCAAAAGGAAGGAAGTGGCTATCATGATATCCTCAACAGCATCGAAGGCCATTAGGTGGTGGGTACCAATCTCCTTCTGCAGTATCATAACAGCAAGATTCAACTCAAAAGGAAGGAAGATCACAATCATACCATGCTATGCACCTACAAATAATGCAGATGAAGAGAAGCAGAAGAAGGAGTTTTACAGACAACTTCAATCAACACTGGACAATACCTCAGTCGGCGACGTCGAAATTCTAATGGGCGACATGAATGCGAAACTGGGGACAGACAACACAGGAAGAGAACCAACCATGGGTTGAAAAGCGCTCGGTGATGTGACGAACGAGAATGGAGAATTATTTGCAGAACTCTGTGCATTCAACGATTTGGTGATTGGAGTCAGGTACTGTGTTCAAGCACAAGGATATCCACAAAGCGATATGGATTTCACCAGACACCAGATGGACACAGTAGAAATCAGATCGACTTTATCTCAATCTGAAGAAAGTGTAGACGCAAACTACTTGACACAAGGTGAAGAAGAGGAGCAGATGTAGGTTCACACCACTCACTGTCTAGTGCAAGGAACCTTCCAAATCAAGTTGAAAGCCTTCAAGGAAGCTGGTGATAGGCGACAGTTGAAGTTCAACACCCAGAAACTGACGGACGAGACTACAAAGGACATCTTGACGTCAGTCAGCCATCAAGACAAAGTGGGAGATATCGAGTATTATCCCAGAAGAAACCTTTGTGGAAGAACACTGGAAGTCTTTGAAAGATGTGGAAAGAAACCTGCATAACCGTATTAGGAAGGAAGAAGAAAGAAGATAAGGAATGGATCTCAATGGACACATGGAAGCTGATAGATCAGGGAGAGGAGGATGGTGAGGCAGAAGATAAACCAGTGCAGTGCAAGGATGCTCAACGACAAGAGGAACTGAGTACACTGTATAAAACACTACACTGGACAGTTAAGTGAAGAAGAGTGCACGGAAAGACAAAAGACACTTCTACGAAACACTGGCAAGTGAAGGCTGCAGGTAAGAGAGGTAGAGACCTGACAACATTGTATCAAATAACCAGGTTGCTATCTGGGAGGGAAGTGATCAACGCAGATGAAACCAATAAAAGATGATGGAGGAAAGTTAATTATCAAAGAAGAGAAACAAAAGAAACGGTGTGCTGACCACTTCGAAAAGCTCTTGAATCGACCACAACCTTCACTTCGTCCAGAAATACCACCTGCAGCCCAGCCACAGAACTACAAGTGAACATAAATCCCCCAACAAAAGTCGAAGTCCGGAGCGCCATAAAGCTACTGAAATGTGGGAAAGCAGCAGGACGAGATGGGATTCCGCCAGAAGCACTGAGAACAGACGCAGAGACAACAGCGGACATGCTCACACCACACCACTATTGCAGAAGGTCTGGAAGAAAGGGAAGGTACCTGGCGATTGGAAGAAGGGTTACCTTGTCAAACTGCGGAAGAAGGGAGACCTAAGTGTTTGCAAGAACTGGCGCGGAATCACGCTCCTATCCATCCCAAGCAAAATATTAAGCCGCATCATCCTGGAGAGACTAAAGGATGCACTGGATTCAAAACTACGACTAGAACAGGTAGGCTTCAGGAAGTAAAAATCATGTGCGGACCAAATTGCAACGCTTCGCATCATCATAGAACAGAGTACAGGATGGCAGTCAACTCTACACCTCAACTTTATCGACTTTGAGAGGCCTTTGACAGCGTCGACCGAGAGGTAATTTGGAAACTGCTTCAACAGTACGGAATACCGCAAACCTTATCAGCCTCATTCAACAACTATATGAAGACTCCACATGCCAAGTAATTCAAAATGGGAAGCTCAGTGATGCTTTTTAAGTGAAGACAAGAGTAAAACAAGGCTGTCTACTATCACCCAAGATATTCCTGATTATAGTGGACTGGATCATGCAAGAGACCGTGAGGAGCGAGAAGAGGGCAGACGCTGGCTGGACCGATCGATGGAAAGACCCCAGAAGAAGATTTGGATTTCGCCGATGATGATTTGTGTCTAATGTCACACAAACTTGAAGATCTGCAGGTGAAAACTAACAAGTTGACCTAGGAGGCGAGGCAGCGAAGACGGGACTTCAAGTGGACGTAGAAAATACGGAGGTGATGAAGATACCCAACCAACAGCAACAAGCTCCAATCAGCATCAACGGGAGAAACTTGAAGGAAGTAGCCTCTTTCACCTATCCAGGCAGGACTGTTTCAACTACAGGTGGCACGGACGATGACGTCAAAGTCAGGATCTCAAAAGCAAGACAGGCTTTCACTAATCTGAAATCAGTGTGGAGATCTTCTGCATTCGGTATGTCGAACAAGATGCGGATTTTCAACACCAACATCAAGTCAGTGCTCCTGTGTGGCTCAGAGACTTGGTGTGTTACGAATGGGGTTTCCAACAAACTACAGAAATTCATCAGTAACTGCCTACGCTCGTTACTGAAGATCAGATGGCTAGAATAACAAGAATAAGCAACAAGGAACTCTGGCTGGCAACGAACCAACCAAGAACCTATCGCTGAACAAATATGCAGAAGGAAGTGGAGATGGATTGGGCATGCACTGAGAAGGCCGACTGGGACATCACGCGCCAGGTCAAGCCCTCAAGTGGACATCAGATGGGAAGCGACGAGTTGGGCGTCCGAGGATGACAGGAGGAGATCGTGAGAGAGGAAATGAGAGCTTGTGGAGCCAGGTTCAAAAGATTTCAGAGAACAGAGTGTACTGGAGATGTGCTGCTGAAGCCCTATGTTCCATTAGGAACCCAAGGGACAAATAATAATAATGATTGTACAGCCTTTAAAAATGATTCGTGGAAAGGAAATTTTATTTACTGAGTCGTCTTTTATTAATTTTTCTTTATGTAATGGGATTATTTCGATAGGTAGTTTCTATTTGAAGCGAAAGGTAGTTCAGTGAATTAGTTCTGAGAGTGTCCTCGTACAGCTCTGTATGACATCATTAGTCACTTGGAGGTGCTGTCAGAACTTAGAAAAAATATTTGGGACTAAATTTTTTTTCAAACCAAATGTTTTGAGAAGACAGTTTGAATTGGGTGTGATACAAATAGAGCAGACTCAACTGATATTGACGGTAAAATTCTCTGCACACTGAATATCAGATGATTCCATGGAAGTGCAGCTTTAGTGCTTTCAACTAAGGTAATTTTCTCTACACAAGGTTTTGTCAGAACGCCTAAAACTGCAGAAGAAATGAAAGGTATTTAAGCTTTTAACAAACTGACTGCGAAACATCATGACTAGATCTGTTTTTTGAGCATATATACAAACAATACTGCAGTCGGAAAAGAACTTTTGAGGAAAGTGATCTTTTACGAGTTAAATATTTTTTTATGGTAATTACTGTACGCATGCATAAAACCTGCAACCAATGAGTCTCAAATAAGATGGGATTTACATTGCAAAGTTTACTGCTAATGACTACTGAATACAATGAAAATTGGAACCTTTTTTTCTTCCTTGAATACTTACTAAATCTTTGCACATAAATAGCAAGCAACCCAGATGTCCGTTAGAATAGAGCCTTAAAAAGATATATTGCTGAACGGTTCAGAAGGATATGATTAGTTAAGAAGTACAAATATATGCCGGTTGCGGCACTTACGAAATACTAATTTCAGCGTCATTCAAATTGCAGTGGGAGTGTAAATTATCTTACAATATATTTGCTAGCTCATTTCAAACACGCTGCCGTACATGAGAAATACTTACATGGTGTTCCTACCAGATACGAGTAATCCTACGGAGACGACGATGATGGAACACAGAGTTGTCGCACATCCTCAGCTCGGAGAAGCCAAGTTTCACAAGCGTAGAGCATAACTACTCGCACCGAAGCGTTGTATGTTCGGCATTTTACGACCAGACTAACATCACAACGGAGTGAGGGTGGCTCAGATTGGCGTATGTCGTTCTGACGTTAGATATGCAGTTGGAAATTTCATCACACACCTCCTACCAGCACTCACACAACTACCCAGATACACGAACGTTTCGACTACTTCCAATGGCTCACCACTAAGGGTAAGTACAGACACAGGCTCCTGCTAATCTTGCAAAAGTGCTTTGCACTTGGGTGGTGCAAAGCACTTCCAGGCGTCGTCTTTGAAGATTGTTTGTCAGGGTAACATCTGCATCACATAACATCTCACCGACACCAGGTTTCTTGCTTCCATTGACTCGGATGAACTGGAACAGCTTCTGACTATTCCCCGATGTAGCTTCTGCTGCCATCTCACTCACACGTTCTGACCACTAAGCCTCACGTTCCTTGCCTAAGCGTTGTGTAATCTTTCTGATGAGAGATTGACGCGAACTTTTGTACTCGCTATCCGCCAGAATAGTCCGACGAGCGTCAAGAAATGGCAGAGAGCTCACTGAGACAGTGTTCATTAGCAGGACGTCCTTCTAGGCTGCAAGCGGCTTTTGTCGCCATTTTCATAGCGTCTTGCAAGTGCAGTCAACGATATTGACACCATCAGGATGATAGTTAGCCAGGCTTTATTCTAGCTCGGATTGGTATTTAGCTGGAATGTTAGGTGCAACTAATTTGCTTGCATCGAACTGTTTAGGAAGACGGTTTTGATGATTACAAAAATGCAGGAGGAACTTAGCACACACTAAAGCATGATCGGAGTCCATACAAGTACTCTAAATGGAGCGGCAGCCGTGTATTCACGCACGCCATCGGTAGGTCGTTGCAATATTATCTGTTTGAGTCCAAGCTTGAGTCGCAGAAGGAGGACGCTAAGTAGCACAACGGCGGTGACTATGCCGGAAGTTGGTGCTGGCTAGAAATAGGTTATGATCCGAGCAAAGTTGCAAAAGACGTTCCCCATTATCCGACCTGCTGCCTACTAGTCCGGATTGACCACCTAAACGACTCTCCTCTAAGACTAGACGCCTGACCTGGGCATTCACGTCCCTATGTAGCACTACGATATCTGTCGACTGGACATGGTTGGGGTCACTCAGGTGATAATAAAATTCATCCATGGTTGCATCCGGGCTACAATTCGCCGGAGCATAGGTAGAGATGACAAAGAAATCGTTTTTTGTGTTTCCGGTTACCTCTTACTCGAGATGAACCTTGTAACGCAACAACAGACAGAAGACTGTTGATGGGGATTCAGTTGAGGAGTGGAGCTTCTGCTCGAACGCCTAGTGTGACACCGGCACCAAAGATGCTGATTACCGATGCCACAGGGTCACCGGATAAGCGCACATAAAACGTACTTTCCGAGCTAACAGATGGGGAACTAATTCGAACCACTTCACTGGGATCTTGTATGTGGGTCTCTGAGATGCAGCATACATCAATAGCGAAGGTTTCTAGAGTCCTATCCTACTGTTTTATCTGCATCACAGTGCGAGCGTTGAAGGAGGTGAGCGTAAACGGTGTACGTTGTTTCAGTATAGATGTGTCAGACTGAAGCACAGCTTAATGGAGGCAACTGTTTAGCGACTCAGAACGGTACAGACAGACAAGAAGTGTAAGCAGTGGAGAGCAGCTGAGTGAAAATAAAGACGAAAGCGGAAATGGTAATAATGAAGAATACAATTCATGTGTAAAAGCAACAAAAAAACATAACAGACATAAATTGAACAATTAGTTATGGTGTTTGCTGTGCGGAAGGCTTGCATATTACCAGAAACGTTGGGTGAGCGCTTCAAAATCCTCATTACATATTGTGATTTCATTTTATGTGAGGGCTGAGATACTGCCGAGGTACGGAGACCGAAGGAAGTGGTTGTCTTAGGGGACCACTCCCCACGCCTTTGAGATAAATTTAAATCTGCAAGGTAGTGGAGCAACATCAGTAGCTGGATTCACATGGTTACCGGTGACCAAAATAGGTTCGTACGCCATTAGTTCTATCTGGAAGCCATGAGCACCATTGGTTTAGAATCAGGGTTTTCCAACTCCACTAGGTGAACCTTCAGTATCAACCAATACAGTGATTAGCGCCGGACATTCACTTTCACCCTTTCACTTCCGTGGAAAACACTCCCGTTAGTTCATGTAATCCACTATTTTTAATCTCAAATCGAAGCATTTATTGACATTATTTCATGTACCTCTGAAACAAAAGTGATGACATTTCATCTAACTTTATTTAGCTCCTATGTTATTCTCATGTGATTTAGAAGTTGGGTCGACAAAATATTCCCTATAGAAGTGAGTTACAGATGTACTGCAGATACTATTCGGCCTTATTCATGGCTGTGAAACAACTGAGTTAAATTGTAGCAGTGTGTATGATTAACTTCAGGGATGTATGTGGGTAACGTTTTCTCTCCTTTGATATATATATATATATATATATATATATATATATGCACTTAGGTGGCACCGTTTATTTCTGGCCAGCACGACCTTCAAACATAAAGAAAGACGTTGTCTGATGTAGTGTTCACCAACTTCAACTCAGCGGTTAACGCAGATAGACCATACTGCTATCAGTTACCGCTGGAGAGGTTCGGTGGAAGATTGTACCTTTTCTGGAGCGTTTGTTTGGAGAGCAATTAAGCGTTAGTTCCAGTACATGTATGTACAGGCCTAAATGGACGTGAGAAGCCTATAGAAACAAGACCATTGTGAGTGTAGCTTGACAATGACAACACTAGAGCTGCTTTCAGAGAAAAACCAGCTCGACAGGTTTCAGTCCTAGTACAGAACATCACTCGTTCAGAAGAAGCCTGGTTCCATCTGCAGTCTGCTACCAAAAACAGTGTTGAAGACAGCTGACTCTCATGGAGTGATTAGAAAAAGCCAATGGCTCTCAACAGCTTCCTCAAAATTAATGGATTCACGAGAAGGCTTCTCTGCAGGTTTCAAACACAATGAGGAATGGAAGCAACTCAAATGTAGACTGACAAAAAGTCTACGCAATAACGTCGAACAGTGGTGGGCAGCGAATGCAAAAGAGATGGAAAATGCGATGGTGACAGGCAACAGTGGATAGTCATTTAGACCTATCAAGAAAAGTGGGGCGGAAACATCAAAAGTTAGTGAGACTAAAGCGGAGAAAGATGGGTCTGTGATTCACTCAGACGGGAGACAACTGGAATAACGGGTAGAACACTTAAAAGGGCAGTTCACCTACCCTCCAGCTGATGTTCTATTACCCGCTGTCCAGTCACATCCTGAGAAGAACATTGAAATAGGACCTCCGGTTCTCGCTGAAGTTGAGGCTACAAGTAACCTAAAATGAGGAAGAGCAACGAGGTCAGATGGATTAGTATCAGAGGTATTTAGGCATTATTAACTAGGTTAATTGAAGTGCTAGGTCACGTATGAAAATCCTGTTATAATCGCCTCCGACTGGTCTCAACCAATAATTGTCCTAGTCTTCAGGAAAGGCTAGAAATCCTCTTGTGATAACCATATAAGAAACAGCCTGACGAGCGGTGCCATTGGTTTTGTGTTCTACTATCATAACACGTCTAACTGGAGCTCAGGAATAGAAAATCTAAAAAGACCAGGTAAGCGTCAGACCTGGCCGTCGGTGTATCGACCAGAAATTCACTCTTTGCTAGTTCTGAAGCCCAAGGACACTTTGCGGTGCTCGATACTAGCTTTACTTCTCGGCCTAAAAGCGGTATTCGATTCAATCAAGAAGTTTTATGGCAGCATCTCGCTGAAACGGGTGCCACATGGTACATCATTCTATTGAGGACTTTGTATCCAAATCCGTTGGATATGTTAAAACTGATGGTGAGTTGTCAGGTGAGCTTTGTACATCCAATGGTCCCTGTCAAGAATATCTATTCTCTCCATTCTTATTCAACTTTATCACACACACACACACACACACATCATCTGACTTTACACGGATTGATCTTGTTACTTGAGAATCTGTGGTAGATTTAGAATACTCAGATGACATAGGCCAGCTAGTGTAGGACAATGACAACACACAGAGGCATCTGGACACTTTGAGTGGTAATTTAAGAATCTAAGGAAGCGCTTCTCGTCACCCAAATACAAACTGTTGCTCCAGGCTTTCACTGGTGTCCTGTCTAACAATAGGGAGTGAAATGGTTGAATGCGTTGAACGCTTTCATTTATCTTGGAAATCGGATCTGCAATAGTAGGTTAGTGACCGACAAAATCTCTGCACGGATACAAGAGGCTCAATTGGCTTTCTCCAACTAACGCCAGTTATGGCGCCGCTGTGATATCCTATTATCTCTAAAGACCGGGTGCAATGAGTCAAGTTTGAACACTTTATGAACCAACTTGTGATACAGGTTCACTCGATGGTCGCTTTTCCACATAAAAATTATATTCTTAATATAGCACTCACCATGGCAACCAGTCATTTTTGAGCACGATATGCATCCTTCAGTTCACGAACATCACCGTTTAATATAATTGGTATTTCACTACCTGCAGAAGAGTGCTTTATTTTACAATCGACCAGTTCTTGGACAACATTCCATGAAGCAGGATCTCTGTTACGTTGATGTGTTGTACGGGCGTGCAGCGTAACCCAGTCAACACCCATTACTGCCAAGCGTCGAACAAGTTCGACAGTCAGTTTAATCTACGAGAAGAAAATTAGAAGTTTCTTATGCTTTGCTTACTTTTGAATAGTGTATGGAAAGATATTTAGTTAAATACTGTACCATCTCCTACTGAGATAAATAGGTTGTATTACCATATTGAAACAGTGATTTCAACCTTGGAATAGATAAGTGGGATCAAGTAAAGAGTGATTTATGTCTAAATCACAGTGAGGAGTTAAGTGTTTGCAGGATGCTTTAAGTATTGACAATCTGAATATGGATAAAGTTGTGTACCAAATAGGAATCCCCACTACTCCTTAGTTGACAGATATATTTTTGACCGCTTTGACCGGTGTGTGAAAATATAATTACTTTTGATCAAAAGAGTTTGTGCGAAAAACATGAAGACAGTTTCCCGGAACCATTGAAAAACATATAGTAGTGAATAGTATTTGCATTTAAAACCACTAACCCTCAGTGATACACACCCCTAACTTTTAACTTGATCGAACTCAAAATAGCTGAGCAGGTTGCTTTCTTTTATCAACTACATTAAAGGAACATCTCCAACAATAATCCTGGTTTAAAAAAATCTATTACATAAAAAGGCTACGTAAAGGGTCACTGAATCTAAACACAGGAATAAGATTCACAAACGCTTGGCACTTAGTGCACAGGAGATGACTACCATAACCTGAAATAGCTAAGTGAGCGATAAATGTTCTGCGACATAAAATATGTGGTCTGAGGTATTATTAAAATAAACACTGGTTGGTTACAATCAGTATAACTTAAGGCCATTAATTAGACAGCAAGATTAGAAATACTAAATGTCATGCTATATTGTATGAAAACTAAACTTATTAGTGATCCTTATTCCTTCCTTACAGCCTATCAAGATAATACTTTACAGTACGCAGTAAATAATACTGCTTCATGAAAAGTTTCTCTCAACATTTTCCGAAATGAATGTACAACCGGATAGCTTACACATTACTGATATTCAGTTAGGTGACAGAGGTGAATATAGTCGCATGACACTTAGAGGAGCTAGTTTCTTCAGCAGTACAAAGTAAACAAAAATAGGATGCACATTTCTACTCTTCGTGACCGAAGCTGTCAGTTTTAGTTCTGAAAAACAGTCCCTTTGACAAAACTCTCATTTGCCATGAAAAAAAGGATGTAGAGTGTGATCTATAAGCTGTTCGAAAAAATGATGAATGCTGATAACGAAGTATAATAATTAGAGTATGGCAAAACATATTTGAAGGGTAGGTGAGGTGCAGTATAGAAAGCGTGAAAAACATGTCAAAATATGTAACTCATAGAAGACTTAAAAACCAGCTAAAAATACAACAAAATTAGTGACCTTTAATTACTCGTGCTCTATATATCAAGAATAACTTCAAGGAGGCCAATAAAAGTAGTAAGACACTGAATTTATCACAGAAGCGAAACGAGGATATACACATGCAAAGTTAAAATATTCAGGATTTCAGAAGAGAAAGTGTAAATAACGATGTAATACCGTGGTCGACAGTACATAATATCCCGTAGAAGTTGAAAATATTAGCTTCTAGTATTTCAATAACACTGTAACACTTTCTTACACGTCTCAGCTTAATAGTTTTGAGCGTCGCATAGACACTCACAATCTCATACGCCGTCTAAAATCATCTCCAGATCACTATAAATGGCTTGATTCAATGCCTAAAATTAATAATCCTGGTAGAATTTATGGTACTATCCAGGATCATAAACCAGGTTATCCCATCAGACCCATGGTCGACTTCAGAAACACCTCCAACATATGAACTATCAACAAACTTAGCATCGATATTATATCTTATTAGGAACTATCCAAATTCTAAACTAGTCAATTCTTACGTGGTAAAACTAAAAATTAATGGCCGACATATAGAAGAGGATGGAAAAATGGTTACTTTCGATGTAACAAGTCTTTATACCAAAATACCAATAAATATGCCACTGGAGGTAGTCAGAAATCAACTGGATATCGACTTACAACTTACTCACAGAACTAAGATATCGGTTAATGAAATCATCACATTAGGTGTACAGTTGTGCCTGACCTCTACAACCACGAAGTTTCAAGACGAAACATATAAACAAACAGAAGGAGTAGCAATGGGGTCACCTATATCCCCAATCGTGGCACATTTACTTATAGATAGTTAAGAAAACATGGCTTCACAAACGTTTAATCCTGCACCTAAGATATGCTGGTGGCGATATGTGGATGACACATTTACTGTGTTCAAATCGAAACATATATAAACTCGGCAGTAAGCGTAACCCAGCTCACTTACGAGGTAGAAAATGAACAAGGAGAATTAGCTATGTTGGATTATAGATTAAAACGAAAAACAGATGGTGGTTTGGATACTACCGTCTACAGGAAACCAACACATTCTAACAGGTATCTACACTTCAGATCATCTCATCCAATGCCAAATGTCTCAATAATAGAGCTAGAAAACTCACTAGTCAGTGCAACGACTTAAACAAGGAATTGAAGCACATAAAAGAAGCGTTAATAGTTATCCATCACAGTTTAGTAAGGAGTTCGTACATACATATGAGAAACGAAATAATAACAATTATACGAATACGAATGATAGCGACGACACGAGCAAAAAGGAGTTCAAAGCCTCCACTGTGTAATCACCGTATAGGGAAGGAACATCAGAAACTTTACGTAGGATTCTAAACAAGGCTGGAATTAAGATGGCATTTAAACCTACAAACTCACTCAGAGATAAGAGTTGTCGGTTTAAACATCCGATAAAACCAATTAAGCGAAATGATCTAACCTACCAAATTTCATGTAATGACTGTGAGATCGCGTAAATAGGCTAAACTTGCCAGTCGGTGTCAGTTAAATTATCGCAACATAGGAAGGAATTTAGCTAAATATAGAGTGACACACCCCAATAAGATCAGTAATCTAGGAAAAAACTCGGCTATTGCATTGCATGCATTACCACATAACCACACAATAGACTGAGATAAACCACTGTACTTAGATGCAATATGATTAGGTGGAGAGAGATTGATTACTGAATCTTTATTCATCGAATCTATACCCAAAACATATAGTAGGGATAATGCAACACCTATACCGGAGATATGGAAAATTTTACTACCAATAAAATCAATGAATATGGGGTGACAGGGCTATAAAAGTCGGTTGTTGACAGTTGTGTGATCACATTGATATGATTATGAGCAATAATTTATGCTGGAAACGTTATCAAGTAAATAATACTGCATCAGTGTGTTATACACGAAGTAAACAAATGCGATACAGGAATACCTTTGTGGAACCAGGAAGTCGTGGGTTCGATCCCTGACGGGGTAGTAGGTGCGCACTGCTGAGGAGTCACATACTACGACAAAATAGCCGTACAGTGTTCCCAGATTCCCAAAGATTTTCCAACTGATGTCAGTCCATAATGAACACCAACGAGAAATCAATCAGAAATCCTTACAAACCTCTAAATCGAGTTAAGATCTAACGCTAAAATACAATGGATTACAGTGCTACGTTACTTAACAGTCACACTGCAAAGTCGACTGATGGATTCAAATCAACAGTAAGAACTTAGCACCCACATCATTTATCATCTGGTGGGATAGTCCGGTATTACAGTTAGTAGTAAGTGAAATAGATTGATCGAGGTTATAAAAGCCTTTTGTGTCTAGAATTTCATCACTAAAGAACTTTCAATAAATGAAGTGGACAACACACTCCATATGCTTAAATCAGGTATCGATGCAGTACTTAGCATGAGTAAAATTCACGCTTAGTAATCTATGGTTTATACTTAAACAGCTACGGGGACCTTACATCTGAAGTTAAAGAGAGAATGCTATCTGCATATTCTTGGTCGATTAGAGGATAATTGAGGAGAATAATCCCAGCCAAGTCGTTCAGACAAAGAATCACCTTCATTAGCAAACCTACAGTATAAGAGAATAGAAATGGGCTAACATTGACAACTTGAATATCGATCGGAATTATTTCAAGCATGTGATAATGACAATTTCAGTCTTTATAAGTTGTTTTTAAAGGAAGCATTTCCAAAACTGGATGGTCGTAAATCAAAGGCAAAGAGGCTTCTCAAACATCAAGTTTAGCACAAGAGGTAATGCATTAAAAATTAAGTTTAGTTAAACAAATAAAAAAGATTTCACCTGATAAATTTGATGTGAACGGTAAAGGTAAATACTAGGAATTATGTCGTAGTTCAACCTACAGGATCACATGAATTCCCTTCTCCAACAGACCTAGTGGATGCACTTGGTATCCGAATTTTAGCGGACACCGAAAATGGACCTTGGAATCGTGTTACGGTTTTGATTTTTCCTCAACTTCAGAGTTTTCGTTACAATTTGACAACACTTCTGTGTCATTAGTATCAGTTAAACGTGTGACGCTTTCTTTATTTAAGTCACGCCATCGTGGAACTGTATTTCGAGCAGCGTGCACAATATCAGCAATTTTTTCTGGTTCTTTCAACAGTGCCGATCCTAAACCGCAGCGCATTGCCCAACTGAAATAATAATAAAAAACGGTTCTTCGCAAATATTTAAACGCACATATGCTTGATCGTATATCATTTAAGTTGTAATACTAAATTGATATGCATAAGAAAACTATTCGAAGAAAGTTCATGGAAACATGTTCAGTTCAGTAAAGACAAAAAAAGAATATATGCATATATATATGGTTCATAGAAGCCAAACTAATCGGAAAAACGACAGAACTATACAATTGTATCATAAAAAAGTATCCTAATGACCTCCAATCCAATTATTACATTATTAGCTTTCTTCGGGTAACGTTAGACTA